GTGTGGTGGTTAAGAACATGGGCTATAGAGCCATACTGCCAGAATTGCTATCCAACCAATCCTGGCCATTCCATGACCTCAGGAAAGTTACTTAATCTGTCTATTCCTCAGTTTATTTGCTTTAAACTGGGCATAATGGTAGTACGCACCTCATAAGATTGTTATAAGAATTTGTGTGTGTGTGTGTATGTGTGCGTGTGTGTGTAGTCAGTTAGAAATAATGCCTGGCATCTAACAAATACTATGCAAGTATGATAAATAAAACAAAATAAATAAGTCCTAAGCTTCTTTTCATCTTTCAATATTATATGACCAAATTAGAACTTATAGAAAGGTGAATATTTGCAATGATTCTACCTTGGTCTTTACCTCAGTTTGCTCACCTGTACCTCAGTTTACACATTTGTATAATGCAGACAGTAATAGAATCTGTCTCATATAGTTATCATGAGGATAAAGTAAAATAGTATATAGAAAGTTAATGTATCTAAAGTACTTAGAACATTTTTTGGCACAGAGTAAACAATATATCATCATTATTAACTTTTGAAAGATTTCTTGGCAAAGCTTATGTGAATCAATACCAAAAAACTCTGAAATGTGTTTAATAGGGCTTACAATATGGAATTGATCTTGAAGCAATATCCATATCATAATAATGGAGCTCAACTTTGGTTCCTTCAATTAATCATTCTAAAAGGCCAAAGTGGTGAGGTTTGAGAATAGAAAACTTCCCAGTCATTGCATAGTCTGCTTAATGCACCTCACTACCAAAGACAAAAAAGAAAGATAACTTAAACTTATATCTATGAAGGCAACTAATGAAATTTATTTTTAAGAGATCTTTGAGGAGCGTGGCCATTTTGAATTCTTCTATGCCGTAAGCTCCGACAGCTGAAATAAAGCCCTTCCTCTTATAAATATTGTGTTTGAGTGCTCTTTATTTCTATTGGGCCTCATCTTCCTACAACATTTTTGGTTCCCTGATCAGGAAGCAAGATCACCCATTGAGAGAACACACACCTGGTAGTTGCTGCCAACCCTCTGCACACCCACATGAGGGACCCCGATCAGCCTAGGCAATGTGAACCACTGACCATGCCAGGGAGACAACTTGGCCTCCTTGTGTGGATGCCTCAACTGGGTGGACAAAAGACTCCCTTGTTGGGTCTTCAAGGATTCAAACACCTGGAGGAACTGGCGTTCAGGAACTGGCATCCGCACTGGGAGATTTCTAAGGCAAGATAGGATCAATCTGGGGTGCCCACTATTTGAGTGAAATCAGGTGTTCAATCAACCCCTGAGTGTTAGATTGCAACAGACTTGGTGAGGGGTGTATGAGAGTGTGTGGATGTGGTGTGATTGAGAGGAACTCAGAGAATGGGGTTGGATCTCCCTTTACAAGGCCTAGGGGAGTATTGGTTTGCCTCCTATGGCTGCATGGCTCATGGAAGGCTTTCAATTCTAACCTGAGATTCCTTATAAAAGTTTCCAGCAAAGACAATTTTAAGGAGAAGAAAAGCCCAGATGGCTATTAATTATTCTTGCTGTACTTTATGCAAATAATCAGACCCAGTATACTGAAGGTACAGTTTATTTTGGCAACTAAGTTAGTTCTGCTATAATTTGTCTTTAGTAAAGAGAGATACATGGTTCAAAAGGGGAGAAAATACTATGGTCCACCTGTATTAAATTCCAGCCTTGTCTGCAGTGTCAGCTTATAAAATGAGACATAATTGTTTAACTAAACTGATCTGTTAAATAAGATTAAGAGACTGGACAAGGAATATAGAATTACATATAGTAGTTATTTTGCAATATTAAACATTATCTGCTTTTTCTATATAGATACCTCAGGAAAAATTAGAACCTGAATGAGAATTTCCCAGTAAATGATGTGAGTGTAACACAGCCTCATAAGAGGTTCGACACCCAAATGATGTTCAGAAATGTTCACTTGAATTTTCTAAAATTTTGAATCAGTTCTGTAGGGACTATTAAAGCTAGGTATTATTTTAAGAACTGTGCTAAGTCTGTAAGTAGGAATATTAATGTTCTCATTGTGTAAACCTTAGCCTCAAAATCCTGAACTTGTAAATGTTTGTAGGTAACTGCTAAATGCTTTCATTGTCTTACACTGAACACAACTTTGACTTTGTCAGTATAAGGGAGCCAGAAAGCCACAAACACATGCAAGGTGGTCGAGGTCATGCAGAAGCCAGATGAAAGCCCTGAGAGTTTCTGTGAAAGACTGCATAAAACATACAGACTGCCAAACCATTGTATGAAGTTACTAAGGGGGGAGAGACTAAATTGAACAGACAGAAACCCTAGGAAGAGTAAGTAACAAGAAAGATCTGTGCTTGGGTAATTAATCATGTTCTGTTTAGTCTTGTGTGTCTATATATCCTTTCTCTCTGAAGGATAAAGGGAATGAAGTCCATATCAAGGATCAGAACCCAGTCCCCCTCAAACCAAGGTAGAAAGGACTTTACACCATCATCCTGACCACCTACACAGCAGCAAAGGTGGAGAGGATCCTTACCTGAATTCTTCACAGCTGGCTGAAGAGTTTCACTGCCCCATGGGAAGCAAAGGTAACTTAAGATGGTCCACATGCCCTGCTCCAGTGACATACTGGGAGCTGGTAGGTCAATGCATGGCTGAAGCCTGAAGAAACTCCTCATGGAACTTGTCTTAATTGGACTTTGGGGAAAGAGGAGGAAGGATGTAATCTGTGAACTCACACCACTGAGATAGGACAAAGGGTGACTTCTTTATATCTTTTATGAATGCAAAGGCACCCAGAAGAGAGCTTGTGCTCATAATCAGTACTCTATGTGTGACATAGGGAAAAGTCAAAACTCATATGTATATTAGTCCACCACCATGAAACAGTCAAGTTCTGGGTAGAGAACCAGAAAGGAGTCACAGTCCCTGAAATCTGAATGCTGGTACAGACCAGGGAAGTAGGAATGCCAAGCCAGGTAACTCTAAAGTCTACTGCCTTTAGTGCCATGCAAGGGTGCTGCAGCAGAAAAAACTGGGAAAGAAACTATGGACAGATCAGAAATTCTTCTATGTCTTATATTTTTATAGAAAAGTGAAGTAAAGTCAAATGTGAAAAGTGATTAATACTGGCTCCTGAAGAAGCAAACTGATATTGAGACCTCAAATTAAAATATATATGGAGTCTTAAAAGGGGGGAATAAGAGAGGATGCCCTAGAAGGGTGACATCCAGGAGAAAAGGTTTTCTCAAGGAGACCACAAGGATATACCTGCAGGGTACTCTCCATGGTGACTCATCTCTTAGGAATTTGTAGACTTAAATTCCTGGAACTTGGAAATTTCCACTTCTGTGAAATCCAGTAGTTCTGTGGGGGCTGGAACAGCATCTCCCACTTGATTCAAACTGACCAATGAGAATGGTACCTGTGGGTTGGAACTTTTTGGCTGGAGATAAAAAGGGAAAGACTGAGCCAGTTGGGGAGTGTGGCCATTTCAAATTCTTCTATGCTGTAAGCTTCACAGCTGAAATAAAGCCCTTCCATATATATATATATGATAAAGAGATCTTCCTGCATTTATATATATGATAAAGAGCCCTACCATATATATATGATAAAGCCCTTCCATATATATATGATAAAGAGATCTTCCTGCATTTTATATAATATCTCTAATGTGAGAAAAATTCAAACTCTGCTGTAGAATTTATTAAAAGAAAGTTCTATATTGGAAAGAGAGTTATCTCCTACCTCTCCAGTTCATCCCAATCTACCTGGAGAAGATCACTGCTTTGTGAATATGGAAGAGAAGGAAATTATTATTGGATTCAGGGCCTGACTCCAATTTAATAGGGAACATTGTAGGTCACAAGTTTAAGGATGCTGGCAGTGGGATTTTAGTGACGTGACAATGAATATTGGTGGAAGCTCTTTTTGAGATGAGACAAGGATTCTTTGATGTGAGAAGATGAGAGCAAGGGGCGATTTTTACTATAAGAAAAGTAGGGTCCTGTTGTGATAAGACAGGATATAATATGAAAACTCCATAGAGAGTTGATGAGGCCATTACAAGGCTGTTAGTGATTATGATAGGTGACCAGGGAAATTTAGGTGGGGAAAATATAATAGGGGAGGGACTTGGGAGTGGTGTCTAAAAATATTGTGGAATTCTGAATTTGAATACTCAAGATATTTTAAATGCTACCTGAAGCAGGAAGTCAGGAGACTGGAGGGAACTCTGTGTGATAATGTCAGAAGCTCTAGTGTGAGGGGAAAAGATGTATTGTAGAACCTCTCATTACATTAAAGAATATGAGAAAATGAGGAGAATCCAAGCCATAAGAGAATAGACAGCTTATCACTATGTGAAATGGGGAGATCACAGTAGGATAGAATAGGGTGTATTGTGCAGTCACAAGTGGGCAAAGATATGAAGCACTTCAGCCAGTGTGAGAGGATAGTGGGGAAAGTATTCATCCCAGTGTAAGGAAAAGGAGAGCTAGTAAGAGAGTACAGGAAATATTTTTTGGGTTCTTAGTAAAATACAGAATCCCAGTAAGATTCTAGTGGGAAGGAAAATGTTGGGGCTCCTATTTCTATGCATTGGTGGGATTCGTAGTCTGAGTGGACAATTTAAGGACAGAGAGTATGTTGTTTCCTCAATTGGGTAAGGTGGGAACCCTTGTAGAATGAGAGCACAAGGTCCAAGTGGTTGTTCTGTGTGAGAAAAAGGGAGGCCTAGGGGTAAAAGCCAGGAAATTATTGTGGGTAGGGCAAGGAAATAAAATCTATGTGGAAAGAGATGGCAACATGGTGGGACCATTGAGGGAGGGCCCAGGAAATATTGTGGGAAGCCAGAGCTTGGCGACAGGGAGTGAAAAAGTAAAATCACAGAGTTACAGCTGAGAACACGGGACACCAGCGTTAAAGGTAGGGTAGATAATTGTGCTAGAGTATAATCTCCCCACCTTAGGTGCCCAGCCCCCACTTACCCAGGCAGAGTTCAAAGACGTAGGCATAGTAGGACCAGAGCACGACGAGGACAATAACAAGCACTGGTACCCAGGACAGTACCCTGCGGCAGCACCGCAGCCCCCCAGACAGAGCCATCTTCCAACCTCGTCTCATCGTCGGCTCGAAGATCGACCTAGCAGGCCTGCTGGCACTGGGTCGGAACTGCTTGGGCGGGGGCTGGGAGGCGGGAAGGTGCGCTGTGCGGCGCTCCACTGCCTAGCCTGGCGGGAACGGTCTCATCAAGTCAATGCCACCTGTGGGGCTGCACAGCTAAGTGGGTTCTGCTAGGCACAATATGCGTGAGTCATGGTGTGAGGGAACTGGTTATGTCGGTGGAAAGTGATCCATCAGGTAGTTGAGGCTGGGCACGCTCAGAAGGCATGCAGTCCCTCGGCCTTTCCGCCTCCCCCTCTTCTCGCCTCAGCGATAGAAGCAGGGCAAAACGGCAAAGCAGAAGAGATTTGGGTCGGCCCATCTGCTTTTACTGCACTGCGTTCCCTCTTTTCTCTCCAATCTCTGTTTCTCTCTGTCTCTGTCTCCCTCTCCCCTCTCTCTCCCTCTTACTGCTCTCTCCCCCTCTTGCTGCTCTCTCCCCTCACTCTTACACACACACAGGCGCACACAAGTGTACCTACATACAGCGTAAAAGATGCAAACCATAGCATCTCTTGAGATAAAGGTCATCCAGCTCCATCTTCCCACTGCTGCTTGAACTATATGGTAAATCCATGGACATGGCAAACACACCTTCCCTCCACGCAGAATTAGCTTAGTATATTTTCAAAGCAAATAAATTGGTAGAGGAAAACAAATGAGGGAGACTGATTCTAGGTGTGGTTGGGGAAAACTACAACGGTAATGATATTTAAGCTAAGCTTTATTAATAACTTAGAATTTTCCAGACAGGTAAGAGAGGGAGGAACTTTCAGATAGAGAAAGCAGCAGTTGCAAAGTCATGGAATAATGAAAGTCCAAAAGTGTTCCAGAAACAGCTAGTGTGCCTTGAAAAACAGAGTGTGTTTGTGACAAGGAGAGGCTGAAAATGAGACTGGGAGTAAAAACTGAGGCCATGGTGTGAAGACCATGCCCTGCCAAGCTGTGGGAACATAATCCTGTAAAGTGGATTATGAACAACCATCAAAGGTTTGGGGTAATGGAGTGACATCAGAAATGTGTTTTAATAGAACTGGCAGGATTTGGGAGGTGAAGATGTCCTGGAAGAAGGCAGACTAATTAGGAGGAAATTTAATTCAACAAATGTTTTTAAGTAGTTGCTTTCTATTAGGTCAACTTTGGTATGAAAGCAATGACAGAACAGAGGGCCTGTCCCCAAGAAGCTCATATTCTCATTGGAGCAATAGGTGTTCATTGACACAAGTATTAATACAATAACAGAAGTAGGTAGGTTCTTGACATTAACATATTTGACACTGTTTCAATGATTTCCAAAGGTCTGATATGTGAAAAATCTGTCATTTTGCTGAGATCCATGTTCGATTTGCATTCCATGTCACTACTGTGGGAAGGGGGGAGATTTCTACAAGGTTACTCATCATTTTTTATTCATAGTGATATTTGCAATAAACGTCTCGAAATGATAAGAGATTTATTGTTTTCAAATTAAGTTAACTTTATGGTTAATGTTACTGAACTCATGATATAATGGAATTCACAGTTCATTTTAGTTACAATATTTAATTGTTTTAGCCCTAAGGTTCTGAAGTGGATACTTTAGTGTTCCATTATTTATGAAGTTGGGGATCTGGGAACATATATTTTAGGATTGTCAAGGGTATACTATTTAAATCAAATAAACTTCAAGAAGCAATGATTTAAGTGTGAAAAGGAAAATCTGAGCCAGGATTTAAGAAGGAGAGGTTTCTGGGCAAATGGAACTATGTAGTGGCAAAGATATATAAAATATCATAATATCACAGCATATTGGGGGATTGCAAATAATAATATGGCCTGATATTACAGTTGTCTAATCAAGAGCTGATAAGAACCTGGGCCTAAGACAGGGGATGAGAGCAGGAAGAGGAGGGGCAGAAGTAGTAATGTTTGGGAGAGAGAAACAACAGAATTTGTCAAACAGTTGGCAGGAGAGGAGTGGGATAAAGCAAAGATAACAACTGGATTTCTAACTTCAGTGCCTGGTTGAACAATGTTGCTAGTCATCACAATAGAGGCTATTGTGAGAAGAGTAGGTTTGGTGTTGGAAAGGGAAAACTTTAATTTTTGGATATGATGAGTTTTGATTGAATTTTCCTCTTCTATAGTATCCTCAGCACCAAATTGTTTGGGACGGGGGCTCAGGGATAGCTTGTATCCTGAGCAGCATGGAGGGCCAAGAACCAGACAGACAAACCGAATTTAAGTGTATGCAGCAAGAGTTGGCAGACTATGCTTATCAACCAAATATGGCCCTCCCTTAGACTTATGAATATTTTTTCTTTTATGAAGAAAATTTTTATTTCTTATAAATAAAATTTTACTGTAACACATTCATGTCCATTTGTTTACCTATAGTCTATGCTTGTTTTGTACAATGGCAGAGTTGAGTAGTCATGGAATAGATCATAAGGCATGCAAAGCCTACATTTTTTTAAATTTTTTATAAAGACATTACTTTTGGAGAGCAGTTTTAGATTAACAAAACTGAAAGGAGGGTTCACAGATTTCCCATAATCCCCTGCCCTACATACATAGCTTCCCTCATTATCAACATCCTCCACCAAAGTGATCATTTGTTATAATCCATGAAGCTACATTAACAGATCATTACCATCCCGATTCCATAGTTTATATTAGCATTAACTCATGTTATACAGTTTATGAGTTTAGACAAATGTATAGTGACATGTATCACCCTATAATATCCTCATATGGAGCATTTCCACTGTGCTAAAAATTCTCTGTTCTGCCTATTCATCTCTTCCTACCCCCAAACTCTGGCAACTACTGATCTTTTTACTATTAGTTATGCTTTCTCCCGAATGTCATAGAGTTGTTATTATGCAGTATGTAGCCTTTTCAGATTGGTTTCTTTCACTTAGTAATATACATTTAAGATTCCTCCATGTCTTTTCATGGCTTGATAGCTCATTTATTTCTAGTGTTGAATAATATTTCATTGTCTGGAGGTGCCACAATTTATCCATTACCTATTAAAGTGTTAACAGAATTTCTCCTTCTGTAGGTCCTTGGTCTTATGGATTTGAATAATGAATCCAGGGACCACAGATCAGTGGTGAGACAGGATTTCTTTACAGAAAAGAATACAGAGAGAAAGCACCAGAGATCCTAGCAGAGGGAAAAATTCAAGTGGGAAAATATCTCTCCCTGGGTCCTTTTTCTAGGGTATATATATCCCAACAAATGAATAGATACAATCCCTTCTAGTCCCAGGCCTAGGAAACTTACATGAAATTGACAAGGGCTGGGAAATGGGGGTTCCCTGTTCAGCCACAGTGTAAGGGGAGGAAGACAGAGGCTGCCAGCTCTCCCTGAGCTGGCAACCTGAAGGTGCCTCCAAGCAGTTGTCTGGCCCCTTCAGTCACTGGAGCCTCCTGCGACCCCTTCTACCTATCCTCCAACCCTCTGACTCCTCTTCCCACTGCCGCTGTACCAACATCCCCAGGGAGGAGATGGGAGGTCCTCCTCTCAGCTCAGGCGGCGCTGGCTGGGCATCACCCACCCTATATCAAAAGGGCATCTTCATTGCTTCCAATTTTTGACAATTATGAATAAAGCTGCTGTAAACATCTGTGTGCAACTTTTTATAGGGATGTAAATTTTCAGCTTATTTGGATAAATAGTAAGGAGTGGGACTTTGGGATCATATGGAAAGAGTATGTTTAGTTGTGTAAGAAACTACCAAAGTGTCTTCCAAAGTGGCTGTACCATTTTGCATTTCCACCAGCACTGACTGAGAATTCCTGTTTTTATGCATTCTTGCCACATTTGGTATGGTCACAGTTCAGGATTTTGACCATTCTAAAAGTATCATTTCATTGTTTTAGTTTGCATTTTTTCTAATGACATATAGATGCATTATAATACATGCATCTTTTCATGTATTTATTTGCCATCTATATATCTTATTTGATGAAGTGTCTGTTCAGTTATTTTAGCCTGTTAATTGAGATGTTTATTTCCTTATTGTTGAGGTGGTTTTTGTTGTTGTTCTTGTTGTTTTTGTCTTACAACATGGTCTCATTCTGTCGCCCAGGCTACAATGCAGTGTCATTACCATAGTTCCCTGCAATGTAAAATTCCTGAGCTCACGTGATCCTCCTGTGTCAGCCTCCTAAGTAGCTGGTGATACCGGAATTTCATCTTCAGTAGGTTCTTGGTGTTGGTGATTTGATGAATGATTCCAGGGACCATAGATCAGTGGTAAGACAGGATTTATTTACCAAAAGGAAACAATACAAAAACATCAAAGCTCCTGGCAGAGAGAACTCAGGTCCGGTTACAAGCTCTCTGACTCTCTCTCTGTCTCTGTCTCTCTCTAGGCTCTTTGTCCAGGGGTATATATAGTCGCATGGAGTCCTTTGTAGTTACATTTAGCCAGAAGTCAGTTGTTACTTTTAGGGGTCATGGGTCTTCTACAGTTACCTTTAGCCTGAACTCAGTTGTTACATTTAGCGGGCATGGGTTCTCCATAGTTACATTTAGTTAGAACTCAGTAGCAAGTGAATGGCTACAATCTCTTTCATTCATGCCTTGGAAACTTACATGAAATTGACCAGGCCTAGGAAATTGGGGGGGGGGTTCCCTGTTCAGCCACAAGTGCAAGGGGAGAGTTTCCTAAGGTGCTGGTGTCTCTGCAGCAGTTGTTTGGCACCTCCTGCACCCCACCCCCACCCTTTAGCCCGCTGGTTCTCTGGTTCCTCTGCTGGCTGCCGCAGCACACCAACACCACCAGGGCTGAGGTGGCAGGTCCTCCAACTCAGGTTGCTCGAGCTGGCTGGGGCACCACCTGTCCTGTATCACTAGGACTACAGGCATGTGCCACCATGCCCTGGTAATTTTTCTATTTTTTGTACAGACAAGGTCTTACTCTTGCTCAGACTGGTCTCAAACTCTTAGTGTCAAGGAATCCTCCTGTT